AATTGCAGGACTGTGTGAGTAAGGACTGAGACTGGCTCAACTATTAATAAGCTCCCTGAACTGTTCCTGTATTTGCCTTGCTCTTGCTTTCACTTGCGCTGAGGCCCCTTTGCTGTTGAGGCTAGGCAGGTTTTCAAAGTTTGGTGATGCCACTTACACTGAAAAGCTGCAGACACTAATAATAAACAAGAGGAACAGTGCTGCTGCTCGGCCCTTCGTCCATGCATGAGAAGTGCACTGGGCAGCCTGTGAGAACTCATGGACTCTGTGCATGAGGGAAAGGCTGGAGGTGTAACAGAAAGGCTGACAGCCACATCTGCATGGGAGACACGCAGCCCTGTTTGCAGCTTAGAAATGAGGAAATAAGAGTCTGGTCAGTGGCCTTGGGAATCTCTTTCTTCATTGCCCTGCCACTTACATTAACCCCTCTTTTCCCAGCCTCCTATCACTCTAGTGTTGGCTTTGAAGTTTTGGGTTTGTTCACGTCTGGGAACCCCACGTGGGAGATCAAAGAAAAATAAAGAGGTGAGGCAGAGCTGTGAAAGGAAGTTAATGTTTCAGAGGAATGAGAAGTATAGAAATCATACACACTGAGTAATCCAGGCTCACATCACAGACTAACCTGGTTGGCCAACATGTCTGTTGGAAAACACAGAGATGTCAGACTTTGTTTCTCAAGACTCACCCTCTTGGCTGAACGCTGGAACCTTGCCCTGGAAATGTAAAAGGCTTGGGGCCACTGTGGTGTATAAGCTGTATATGAACTCCCAGAACGACACTGTGGCCAAAAATACTAGTATGGTCCTTGAATGTAAAACCTCAGTAAAGTCAAGTAAGAATAGGTGGGTGGTTAGAGCTGGTATACTTGGTATAGCAGTCTTGGTATATGTCTTTCGTCAGTGCTGAAATAATGAGTTTTGTGTTGCAGTACCAAGAACAGTGCGAAAACTGGCTAGTAGTAAAAACTGATGCTAAAATGGGTAGTAAATTGAATAATGCTAATGGATAATTGGAAGAAGTTCAGAGATTTTAGAATGATTAAATGATAGGAGGCATGACATAGTAAGAAACCAAGATGTTCACCTATTTCATATAGAAGTCAAAATGAAGGGACAACCTGAATGCAGCCTGTAAGTACACAGTAACAACATTTGGAAGACTGCTGCCAGTTCAGCAGACAAAGGTTTAACAAGATCTAGTAACTGGAGTTTGGAGCTAGGCGTATTCAGATTGGCAATAAACGACACCTTTCTAAGGTAAAGGGCAGGCACCATCTGGATTACCTACCTCTAGTCATGCTTTGTGGAGGTTTTGAAATCATGGGCAATTTTAATTGAATTTTTCTTTTTCTAAAAGAAAATGCTGTGAAGCCACTAGCCTGCATTGCATACTAGATCCAGTACTCCTACTGCACAGCTTTCTCGAGGTTTCTGGAGCTGAATTCAGATTTCCTGGAAACAACTTGAGGATTCTGGGATCTGAGTATCTTGTAGTTTGATTGATACCATTGGTATTAGTTATACTTTTCTCATCATTCTGTTTTCCCAGAAAACCCCATTGTTACAACATCTAACTTCCATTTTTAATAAGCACTGAGATGTTAGCATGATTTTACTGCATCGATTTTGAGGGGTTGACTAGGGAGGAACAAAGCAGTTCTGGTTGCAACTAAGTATGAACTTTTTATTCCAAACTGAGGGAATAATACCACTGAGCTAGTCTGTTCTTATTCTCTCTGCAGTGCCTACACTGAGCCTTACAAGGTGTGCCCAGTCTCCATGATACCAATGGAAGTTGTCACATCAGATGAGGAGCGGAGAAGTTCAGAAGAGGAGGAGAGCAGCCCTGGTGATCCCAGCCTCATCAACAAGGTAAAAGTCCCAAAAATGGGGACTGCATGAAAGCTGGAGAGGAAAAAGCAGTTAGCAGAAGGATCTGGATTCTCAACTCTCTCTGCTCTTTGTCTCTCATTTAGGAATGTCAGAGCCATCAGTCCTTTACTCCCCCAGTGTGTTAACAGCAATTTGCCCCTCTAGCATGTGGCAAAGGCAAAGAATGTAGTCCAAAGACAGATAGTGGAGGCAGCATAAACAGCAAGAAAGTCCTGACTTCAATGTCAGGAAAAATGTCTCGCTCCAAAGGATTTAGCTGCAATCTTGAAAATTTAAAACTCCACTGAGTAAAAAAAAGACAAATACCGTATTGGTACCAGTTTTGCGTTGGCTGGAGTAAACTATTTAACAGGTCTCTGCCATCTCAAAATTCTCTCATTACAGGAAAATCCACTTGTGTTTGGGTTTATTTTACTGATTTCTGATTAATAAAACAGCTCTTAAACAAATTATGGGGAAGATCATGGAAATGTGACCACATCTTAAGACCATTTAAGGCTGTTTTAATCTCCAGTAAGCTGGCTAACAGTGCAGTTGTTAAACAAATGGCATCGAGCAGGCTTAGGCTCAATTTTACCTTTGTTTTTCACTGGAGGGCGTGTGTGCGCATGTGTGCGTGTGTATGTGTGTCTGTGCTTAAAAACCAACGTGAGCCTACCCTTGGGTTACTGTACAAGCACACAGTGCATCGCTCATTTGGTATGCGTGCAACAAATGGGTATGTTCTTCTGAAGTCTTCCAATTTGAGCCCCAGGAACTAAGGCTGCATAGGAAAATAGCAAATCCTGATTACCTGCACCTCTCTCTGCCTTTCATTTTGTCCTGGTCTCTCAGTGTCAACACAGCTATACAACTTCCTGATTGTAGATAGCTTGTGTTTGGTCATGAGCATGTGTCAGAGCCTGAAAAAGTCTGTGCAGATGAGCCTCCGAATCCAAATGATGGCTAAATAAGGGTCAACTCTGACAAGGAAAAGCATAAGTAGATTGATTCTAGGAAGGTCAGATCTCTTCAGGCATTGCCAGAACGTGAAGCTTTGTTTAGAGGCCAGTATGAAGAGGGAAGCATAGTTTCCCCCCTACCAGGACACCAGTTCTTTAGAAACAGAAAATAGAAACTGCAAGCAGAATGACATTGAAAGGTAACCGAAATTGCTGTTGCTTTAATCTTGGAGGGGAAATAGCTTCCTTTGATTTCCCCGCATGCCATATCTCAGTTATGTCTAGCCTGCAGGGTGCTAAACTGCCTCTGGTACCAGTGGAAAAGACTGTGGTTTGATCTTCATGATGACATGAAACAAGTGAAACAGTCACAATCAATCTTTTTTCCTCTGAGATTTGTGAGGTTTTATTTGCTGGTTGGTTGTTGCTTTCACACTGTTTTGGAAAGGGAAAAGCCTTTAAATTTCTGACACTCCCCATTAAGTGAAAAAGATTTTTCCTTTCAGATAGTTTCCTATTAGTTAGCTGACAAACCACTAGCATTTCTAGAGTGTACCCTAGTGTCTTATCTAAGATGACCAGATTTCTCAGCATCTCGTGATGGTAGTTGTGAAGTGACTATAAAACTTTGACTTGAGTTCACAAGGGAATGCATGCAATCACTGTGCACTGGGGAGTAAATTCAAGACTGCTAAAAACAATTTTATTGCCACTTCTTGTAGGGTTTTACTAAAGACACTGGGAAATAATGTTTTTCTAAATGTCTCCCTTATTGCACCTCATGTATTTTAATTGTTCTGTTGCCCTGGTGTAACCACGCTGTGTAGCTGTCAGAGAAGAAGGCAGCACTTAGAGAACAAGTATGTGCTTCAGAGTCTAACTGGAGGTATCTCTCCCACCCTTCAGAGCACAAACTGTTTGCACATGGCTGATAGAGAACATCAGAACAGGTGTGGTTGCTTTGTTGGCCTTTGCTTCTCAAGCTGACTGTCAGCAAGGATCACAGTACCCAGTGCCAGACTTTCACAAGCTCTTGGGGAGCTCTCGTAAAACAGCTTCATTTTACTACAGGCCATATTTCCAAGCCGACTGATGAACCAGTGAGTGCTCATGTCTCAGGAAGCACTGGTGTCTTTACAGAGGACTTCATAGAGGACTGTTTTTCCTACCCTGCTGCTCCTGCCTCTGCTTATTGTCTTCTCACACCAATCTTCTGTGTGCCAAGGGAACATTAGCTGCTCTATCAAAACCTGCCTCTATAATGCCAAAGTGCAAAGAACTTGTCCAGCTCCCTGATGAAGTGATGTACCTCTTGGAACAAAATGCCTGGGAGTGGCTGTACAATATGAAAGAGTTCAGATGCACTGTCACTTGGGGAGAATTGGCAGACACATATTAGTCTGGATGCAAAAATAGGATTTCAAAATGAGCTAATCTTGTCAAAACAGCCATTTAGGGCTGGCAGGCTAAGAATCAAATTTGGATTTTAAAAGACACATACACACATGCCAAAAAAAAAAAAAAAAAGAATCTTCTGGGGTTTGTTCGTTTGATTTCTGTTTTTCTGCTCCTCAGGGAAACTTGGTTTAAATAAATGCATGAAACAGCCTCGATTATAAAATCTCCCCCCTGTGTCCAGATACATGAATTTCATTTACATTGAGCTGAATTCTATCTGCTGCCTTTCACGCCCATGAGTGAATTTCTGTACCAAAATGCAAGGAGAATGCTTTGGTTTTGCTCATCTGCTTTCTCTTAGCTTGTTTGCTGGAGAATCTCAAGACTTCCAGTTTGAAGCAGATTTTTTCCTCTGATGTTTCTTTTTAAGCTCATTTTTACAAGTAAATGTAGTTTAAAAAGTTAGCTTTGTACACACATTTCCTAGTATTGTTTCAACAGCTCATCTCCTTTGAATCCATGCTCTCCTGGGGACCAGACTCATGCAAGTGGGGAGAAATTTTCAGGGGCTGCTAGAGCCCCTGCACTGTAAACAATCTGAAACACAGCCAGTAGTATCTGTTGTGGTATTTTTTACATTATCAACTTTATTTTAAAGAGCAAAAAGAGGGGCTTTCATCTCTGTTAGAGGAATTTTCATTATTAAAAACCTATTTAGAATGGGGCAGGTATAAAAATGTAAAACAGGAGGTGGATTTTGAATTTTTGCCTTTATTCCACTGGGAGTACCTCAGACCCTGAGAAGTCTAGCATTTGTCATCAGAAGTCACATGGTAGTCTTGATTCTTCTGTATAAGAGTAACAGTGAAAATTCATTATTTCTGGTTAAAAAAGCTCTTTATTTCCTTCTCTTCACTCTGCTGGCATATAATAACAACTTAGAGAACTCAGAGACAGGGAATGCTGTAAGTTTTCTCAACCTTTGAGATTCTACTGGATTATATTACGAAGAGCGGTGCCCTTCACTTACACTACTGATGGAGATTCACTCCTTTTTTTTCTCCTGCTAATCTAATTTAGAAGATGGTCCTGGACCACCTCTTATTCCTATGTCTTTTATATATGTTCATTTAATTAAATCCTTACCAATTTATCAGAAGGTGACACATGGCTTTTCTGTACTGGGCTCTCAAGGTTGTATGATGGCATCTGAGCTGCCTACAGAAAATAATATTGGAATTAGAGATTCCAGTTAGGAACAGAAAACTCATGCCTAGTAAAATAAGGACTTTCTCTTCATCTCCTACATCTGAACCTTCACTCACTAGACAAATGCTCAAGGTCCAGGATGCAGAACCCCAGATTTTTCTTATCATCATTGAGCTGGATTCAAACCTGAACTTCATGATTGCTTTTTACTGCTAAAAAAAATAAAATAGATCCATCTGGGACCCACTCAGCTAATGAGCATTAAAGGAATTATAGGGTAAATGAGCTTAATAGTTAAGATTCGACTGGGAGACAGATGTGGACAGCTTCTCCTTCTCTCTCACTGATTCACAAAGCCAGCCTGAAAAAGTCATTTGTTCTTGTAACGCCTCAGTTTACTATTGGCACCACTGTGGCATCACTGTTAACTGCTTCATAGTGCGTGATAGTTACAACAGGGGCATTATGAAGTCACTCAGCTCAGAGGTTGAAGCTTATGAAATTGTGATAAGCCTCTGATTGGGTACCATCAAGGTCCCATACCCCTACCCTGAGCAGCGTGTGAAATGACATGCACGTACTAAGACGGACAGAGAGATGTAGTTTGTCCGTGTCAGTATGGCAAGCCAGTGGCATGCACAAGGATGAAGCTGCTGATTCCAAGTCTTCAGTAGTTTCCCCGCTTTTGAAATGCAAAGGGTCACTCCCTGAGTACACCAGAGAAGTGACTTGTCCAGTACTAATGCTTCTGGGGTTTAGTGAATTGTTCTGTGATCTGCTTGTGCTGCTCTTAGGCCAAACAACCCCATTCCAACCCCATGGAGGCAGATTTGCCCCCAGCCCCACAATTTTTTAAGCTGGATCAGGAGACCAGTCTGGTTCTGATCAAGGTCATGCAAACAACTAGATCAGCACAACTAAGAGCTGGCACTGGGCCCAGAGGGCAGTGACTGGCACTGTCACCAAAGTGCCATCAGCTTTTATGATTAATATGTCTTAGCCAAGAGACAAAATTCAGGGACCTCAGTGTCACATGGCCTGTCTAGGGCAAGTCAGAGAGTGCATCTAGGCATTGCCTGTCTTGTGTTATGTAATTGCTGTTTCTTAAACCAGGAAATGGACTCTGAGATAGACAACAGTATCTAGAGACAGACTTCTGGGAACAGGGGATAGAGGGAGTGCAGGTCCCTCAACCATCAAGTTTCTGAAACAAAGTCCAAGTGATTATTGTAACACTGCCAAGCTGCCACCTTTTTAGAAATCTTTACTCTCTGCAGCCAGTCATGTGCCCAGCCCTGTGGTATGGCTCCTTCCCAGCTCCCTCTCCAGAAGCTGCCCTCCAGCCTCAGTGCATGCCTTTGCTTAGGAGATGGAGGCTGTGCAGCCATGTGGGGACCCTTGGCTTTCTGCTTCACTGAGTCTTCTTCCCAGCATACTTGGTCTGGCAAGCACTGTCACAAAGACTTGATGCTGCTCTCATTTCACCTGAGTCCACTTTAGGACACTGAGGGCTGCTTTATTTACTGCTTTTAGACCACTGGTTTAGCTCCCTACTTCACCACTGCTAAAAAAGTAAAACTTTTCCTAGAACATTCCTTTCAGTACATATTTCTATGCTTTGTTCATCTCTTATCATAAGGATGAGTCATGAAGTATGAGCAAAATGCCCTAATTAGCCACTTGCACCTCAGAGCCATACACTTTGCTTTCACAGTTCACTGTGTCTTCCAAGATGCCCACCAGTTAAGTAGATGCCACTGAGATTTCAGTGTTGTCTGGTGAAGTACTGAACTACTTCTGGAGATATTTATGGCCATTTCATTTAGACATTTTGTTTATCATGCAATAAAGCCCTTTGCCCTATTTGCTTCCGCAGCTCTCACGCACAGCAGTCAGAACAGTTTGGAATATGACCATTTTGATAAAGAACTCCCTTTTCCACGAAGGATGAGCTGCAACAGCCATGAAGCTAGTCTGTTTAAAGTTAAGCACTTTCTGCTTCTTTGACAAATTTTGGACCTGTAAAAATCAACAGAAATTTGTTGTCCATTTTCAATAAGAACACAAACTTGATATCTGCATTGGCAGCTATTGTTTTGTACTATACTACAAGTATTTGAACTGGGGAAATGGCCTGTCATGGAAAGAAGTCCAGGATGCCAGACACTGAACAACAAAGAATAAAAGTCTAGTCACTATTTTTACTGACAAAATATGTCAGTTCAAAGTGCTCTTTAACACTGCTTTACTTCTTGGAATGAGACATCTCTTAATTGTCTCTGACTTTTTCTGTTGACAGAAAGAAGGCCAGTCCAGAGCTTACCTCATTGCCCAGGAGCTGATGTCTTCAGAAAAAGTGTGAGTTCATAGTTACAAACTATCTGTTGCTATTCTAAAGTTGAAGCTAGGCAGTCCACCCTTCCATATTCATTTGATAGCAATTAATAAAAGTTTGTCTCTTTCCTCAGATATGTGGAGATGCTCCAGCTGTTACACATGGTAAGTAAATAATTTTAATTACTGAAGCCTAAATACCATTTTACTTAGCTGCAATTTAGAAGACATAGAAACACTGATGGGATTGAGGAGAATTTAAGAAGGAATGGCTTACTGTGAACCATTGCAAAGGAATATGTCTGCCGCTAATCTGCTCTTGCTGCAGATCATCAAATCTATAAATTTATCATTCAGAGGGAAAAGCATTGGCCAACAATGCTTGCTGAGGCTCTCAGACTGGTGTAAGATGCAGAATAAGCCTAGTGAAGAGGAGATGGTGATAAACAGGAGTGAACACTCTCCTCAGAGCGAGACTGATGGATGCAGAGCTATGAAGGATGGTGATTCGGTTTGAATGGATTCACTCTGCTTCCTTTTAAGCTTTTTTTTTTTTTTTTTTTTTGATAATGCAGTATTGGTAATAGCCAGTATGGGCTGGATATCCACACTGTGACACAGGTAGTCACCACATGGAAAATACAAACTCTGGTGTCAGAAACGTATGAGAGAACACACAGAAGTATAAGGCCTGATAGAGAGCTCTTGTGTGGCATAAACCCACTGGTTTATGGGTTTATCTGTTCTTTTCCATGTTCAATCTGGAAAGCCATAGTCACAGCATTGTTACATTTCCCACCCCAACTGCTGTTGGATCTTCATATTCACCTGCTGCCCAACGTATTATTCCGAAAATCTAGAGAAACCGTTACCAATTTTACAATGTGTAAGTCCCTTAGAGTGCAGGGATAATATTGCCTAACAGAGGTTTTTCCATACTGCCATAGTGCAAAAAGGTACAATAAATTAAAATACCCCTTTTCCCATATTCTTCCGTATTTAAATAGCGTTAGGAATAGTCACATCAGCAAAAAATCATGCTTCACTGCACACTTGCTGTTGACACAAGTCCCACTGGCATATTTCAGAAGCAGCCATGAGTGAACAGAGAGTCATCAAACTACTGTCAAGGTACAGCACCCCACTCATGGCCAGTTAGTTGTTCCTTGACAACACTCCTCAGCTCAGGCAAACATTTCTCTGTTTCCCATCACCAGTGTTCTCATGAAAACAGTTTCTAAATGTTCATCTTCATGTCTCAAGTTTCATCTTCTCATGTAAACCCATGTATTGGTGAGAAAGGCAAGGAAATAAACCACACCCAAGCTCTTTTCAGAAAGGAAAAAAGGGCTTTTCTTAACCCTGCAGCAGGAGCAGTTTCCCATCTCATGTCCAGGCTTGGCTGTAGCTGCTATTCATTCAGCATAACAGAATCTGTTTGGCCTTTCAGTGGAGACTTTAATAAACTGATTGATTGCCAAAATGATGACATTTCCATACACCCACTCTGCTATTGAACTGAAAGACTGGAAACACTGTGTTAGCTCACAAACTCCATATCAGTTGGTGTGGTAGTAGTGATGATAATCTAAAAGGTTAGCTGTTACTTGCCCTACTCAAAGGTAATGCAATTCTCTGGAGCAGCGACTTAAGAACTCATTTTGGTCTGAGCAAATGGAACTGGCAGGGCCTTGTAGTCCAAGTCCGTGATCTCTTGGTATTCACAATTTAGTTTTCAGAAGTTGATTAGTCTTTAAATTTCCTTCAGGATTATTTAATCCTCAAACTTTGTCATTCTTTTCTCCTATTTTTCTTCCCCAGTAATGCAGGCTGCACTTGATATTATTTCTTAGTGCTCACTCTTGAACAAAAATGCTGCAGGTGGCTTTCTGAGCCTAAAGTTTCATGCATCACCGAGAGTCTGGTTCATTTACTTCCCTTCAGCTAGTCTATTTCAAATGAGTTTACAAGATGTGCACAAATCAAATTTAGGGTGACTCAGATTGCCTCACAATCCCAGTCTGTATGCAATCAAGCATTTGCTTTATAGTGTACCGCGTTCATTTTTATTTTGCCTTTGGCTTTTGTACGTAAAATCGTCCTTTTTTTGTATGCATAAACCCCTTTGAGGTCATTATTACTTCCCTCCAAGGCATTTATTGAATTAAGGTACCTAAAAGACAGCCCTGCACTGAAGAAAAACATCAGCCCCAACACATCCCCATTCAAAGGAAGTTGATCCTATTTCCTGGTTTGCATTTTCCTCCTAACTGTGGACCACAATTCTTAGAAACACCAAGACTCAGATTTATGCTTCCTACGTATATGAAGGCATGGATACGAATATGATATGAATTAGATATGTGCTGGTTCTCCAGCCTTCAGAACAGTTTGGAATTCAACCCTACACTGGGTATCCCAAGGCTTCTGACTGCAAAATAAATCTTAGGAAATAAAAAAGAACAAAATCATTATAGTGCTCCAGTCTCTAACTCAAAGGTACCTAAATGCAGATTATCATGAAGTCAGCCTCATTAATTCATGACAGCCTCGTGATTAAACTCAAGTTTCAGAATTCTTGTGGGTAGCAGATTCTCAAGAACAAAAAATACCTGTTATGTATTTATGTACCTTTGGACATGTTAGACAAAACAGAATTCCATCTTTCTAATTATTTACACTCCAAGTGAATGATTTGCTGAGTCTTTTTTATTACTGTAAATTTCTTGGATGATGTTCAAAGTTCTGCTGGACCAATCAAGTCATTACTTTCCTAATCAAATGTTTTAGTGAATGGAACATGCTGGCTAAATGAAGAGCTAGCTGGCTGTTAGACCCTCTGAAGCTCTTATAAAAGCCTAAAAGACACACTGTTACAAAGAATAGCTTGCCCTCACTTACAGTAGCCTGGGGTTTTTTCTCATTTATATATTCATTGTTGTGTTTATCGGCAGTGGGAAAGTAGCTATG